AATCGAGGAACAAAAATAAATACATTAAAAATGTGTCAGCATTGAGCTCGAGGAGATCTAACGGCCTAGTAGGAAGAGTACAACAAAGGATTAAGAGGCCCACTTATTTGATCGAATGCAAGTCTGAGCTAAGCTAATAAGACCAAAAGTGACCGAAAAACGAAGTAAACCGAATCTAAGCCATTTGGTTAGAAATGAGACGAAGAAATATTTAGGTTAACCATTACAAGAAATCTGACTGAAGGCAGTAAACCTACCTTCTGATAGACCCGACCCTAGGAAATTAAAGATTTAATTCCTTAATATCACCAACTAGGGCTATAAACGAGCCGATCTTAAGCGAGCTCAGGCTTGGCTCGTGCTCGAATCGTTCGAAAATGTTCATGTTCAAAATTGGCTCGTGTTCGAAATTGGCTCGTGAACAGTGTGTTCGTGTTCGACTCGATTTAAATATTCGAGTTCGTGTTCGGCTCGAAATTGGCTCGTTAAAATTAAACTGAAAAAATAAATGTAAAGTGTTGGATTCGAATCTGGACCAAATGAATGCAAAAGAAGACACATAACCACCTTACCAAACGAGCAGTTACGTTTTAAACTTAGATATAAATAAATATATATAATATATTATTATATAAATAATATATGTAATATATTATTATAAAAATAATGTTATATTTTTATTTATTTCGAGCTAAAACGTGCCGAACATGAGCGAACAAAGAGTTGTTCATGTTCAGCTCGTTTATAATTCGAGCTTTAAAAACTTGTTCGTGTTCAGCTCGTTTACTTAACAAACGAGCCGAACGCGAGCTACTTGATGAGCCGAACACGAGCTGTTCGCGAACGACGAGCATGTTTGACAGCCCTATTACCAACCATCCCACGAAGGCTTCCGATGATCATTATCAGGGATAAAAAATAAACAATATAAACAAAGAGTCTTATAGTCGTCCCATAGATTTTTCTCTTTGAAGAGAAAGCTACTTATGAGATTATGGTGATTCATCCTTTGCTTAATAGTCTGACTTTGCTTTACTGATATGAATTCCTCACAAAGGATCAAGGGTCGATAGTCAAAATATGTCAGTCGATCGACAAGGCCTAGTCGATTGAAGTAGTCCATCTGACCCGAAACCAATCAAGCTTAGCCAACCAGCTATGCTGTCTCAGCCTAGTTAACTAGATCGACCTTATCGAGCCAAAGCTGAACAGACTCATCCTACAGAGTCAAAGACAACGTAGGGATAGACTCATACCAGTAAACCATCTAGAATTTCATTGACAACCCTTATTAAAGTAGGGGCAAAAACATAACATCACTATGTTGCACTCTCTCTCTTATAAAGAAAGAGATTATTTTATGCATAAATGATGCAAAATTTTAGTCAAAAGGTCAGGAAAAATCAACACATTTGTACAATTTACTGTTCATTACTATTCACTTTTCTCTTTTTGTCTCTGTCTCTATCTCTCTCCCCATTCTTACGCTCTATTCATTGCGGTGTTATTCACGGACAAAAACAGGATCCAACAAATCAAAAAAATATATATTATGTTAAAAATTTCATATTTTTTTCTCTGATTGTAAATTATTTATTTAGCATTTAAAATTTTTAATGACCTTATGACTAAGGATCTTATATTCTCTTGATTCCTCTCATCCATGCATTAATTTGTCTACAAGCATGGAAAATGTAAGATTATTAGTATCACTATATTTTCTACTAAATTTCATAAATCTCTATACCAAATTGGATGAATTTTCTAATAAATGTATATAAAAAAGTTTTTTATTCTATTGTTCTGAATGCTTCAACAAGCAAATAGAAACATGTTTGAAAAGGCAAGTAAACTGAAGAGAGATATCCGTATGAGAAACCAATTTGGACCTCTCCAGCCTTGATTCAATGAACATAGCTGGATTTTCCTCCCTGTTAGCAATTCTCACTTAAACAATAATAATTGCAGTTGTCGCCTTGCAGGTACCCATTTAATTTTGGATCACTGCAAAGACTATATTGCATCCGTCAATATTTTTCTATCTTATTTTTTACCTCCTTCAACCTCCACGTTGCTGAAGATCACGTTCCTGCCCTTTTTTAAGGCTTTTCTCCACGTTAGAACTGACTTCTGTTCTATTCCGAAGCCTTCTCTCTTTAGGGCTCTCTGTGGTTTTAAGGAATTGAAATATAGGGGTAAATAGGAAAGAAAAAAGAAAAAGATTAATTAAAATAAAATTATTCTTTAGCCACTTGTTTTGATTGAGTAGAAATTAAGTGTAAAATATAGAAATTTTATTTAGTTGGTGAGAAATTAATTTTGTATTTCTTGCAAGATTTTGGACTCTTAAATTTAGGGTTAATAATCCAATAAATTTATTTATTTATTTATTGTTAGAATTGAATAGGAAATTATAAGAAAATAATAAATGTAATTATTGAGTTCGATCTTAATTCTAAGACTTTGAGTGTCGGCTTGAGGCAGCTCATTTATTATAAAAAAAGGTAATAATTATTGCAGCAATTATTGTAATAAAATAAAAAATAGAAGAAGAAAAAATAGAATTATATGATATTAAAAACTGTTGCTTTCATTTTCACACAATTTGATAATTTTGTGCTTAAAATCTTCAATTCCTATATATTTTTAATACATTTCATATTGATATTTCCTAAATGAATCGCCTCATAAGTTGATAAGTTTAGCTCATCGAGATCAGCTCATGAGACATTTACGAAGTTGGGTCTGAAAATCTGCAAGTTGGGTCTAAAAATCTGCTTATGGGCAGGCTTGACTTAGTTATATATCTAACTAGGGACTCGAGAGTTCCAAACTGAGAAATGAAAATTCAGTGTAGTATTGAATCATTAAAGATTTATTATCTAGATTATATAATTACACAAATCCCACTAAAATACTAACACAAATACTTCATTATTTAGCTTAGAATAAGAGAAGACGATACCTTTGAATGAAGATTATTTATTTGCAGCTCTCTAATTATTCTTAAGGAATGTGTACCACTAGGCAAAATATGTATGAATGATGTTAAAGATTGAACTCAAATTTGATTTTGAGTCACACCCAAGGAATAAAGAGTAAAGAAGAGAGAGAGTTGTTGAAATGAAGTAGTTGGTATTAGGTTTTAACAAGTTCTATTACATTTAATGCTCCTTTATTTAAAGAGAACCTAAATTATTGTGAAATGGTACTTAGATCCCTTATCTTTTCAATTCTAAGCATATACGTTTGTGATACGTACAACTCTTCTTTTGCCATTATCCTGATTTAGGGCAATACTTGAGCTAAATATCAAATAAATTTTGGTTTTTGATTGGACAACACTAGGTCAATTGGCCTTTGGTCGGCTAGCCTCTAATTGGTCTGTCTTTGGTTGGTCGATCGGTCTCTAATTAGCTCGACTATATTTCGCTGACCTTTGATTCGTCAGCTTCTACTATGTCATCCTCTGGCCGACTAGCCATTAGAACATCACAACTTTCGTCAGGCTTTGGGGTTAATGAACAAACATTGGTCTGAAGGTGACCGCCACCGGTAAAACCTTCAAACCACGAGTGAAGGGTTTCATTTTAAAGCTCTCAATGCCATGAATTTATTAGAGTTGATGAATGCTAGTTTTGATGTTCGTCATTTGAAATGCTAAAAAAAATCACAATAAAAATTTAGAGCCCTAAAAAATTGGAGTTTATAATCAATTAACTTATAGTATCCAAATATTAATCTCTCAAAAGATAATTCAAAGCCACAAATAGTTGGAAAAAGAAAATCGACGGAGCATATTCTAGCTGGAATAGCTTTAACTATTAGTAAATAAGAGTTGCGGAGGATCACACTTACTCAAGGTTAGTGAATGTTTCAATAGATTATAGATAAATAAAGTTATGATTACCCAAATAAAATATATATAAATAACAAAAAAAAAAAAACTAAGTATATAAAGATGTCCGCCTTAAATTTTCCTTTTTTTAATCCAAAGATTATGAATACTGCATGAGCTTAAGCAGTGGGTGGGGTAAATATTAAAATTTAAACATTATATACATACATACATACATATATATATATATATATATATACATATATATATATATATCTATATATCTATAATACTGATAAATTCTTGTCTCCTACTTGCCAAGAAGAGGATCAATTAGGACAGGAAGAGCAGGTACATTTTAGCGTTAGTACAGAGAAACCAGATTCAATGAGGCTATCGTGTTGAGCCATGAATTAATCCAATAATAATAAGCCCAACTAAAGCTTAAAATATGGCAAATGCTCAAATTCTTAGATAATTAATATTCTTTTCTTGATTGCGATTTTAATCTATACTTAAGTTCAAACCACTAAATATAGGCTTAATCAAGGATTGTTTTTAATCTCTCCTCTAATCATTAAGCTCGATTAAGCTTGGATCGATAGTCTTATATAAAATATTGACTTGGTCGAGTCATGAATGTTGCCCATGGTAGCATTGAATAAGCCAAATGAAATTGGACGAGCTAATGATTCAACGTATAGTTAATTCATTGTATATGGCCAATGTTCATTTAGGAGAGTCGTATTAAATCTAATAGCTCAGTCCATGAATTAAATAAGGGGTGGGTTGGACATTTTGGTAATATTTTTTTGTGAATTTTTCTCAAGAAGGAGAGTAAGCATTTTAACCTAATTTTACTTTTTCATCCATCATCTTATACAATCTTTAAGCTCATTTTCATATCATTGTTTGTGATTTATTGTATATAATGACATCAGAAAAAAACCATGTCTAAAGTTGAGGCTTACACACATATTTTACTAATTAAAGCCCTTCAACATATACTCTAATCTATAGTTTGATGATTCCCATTTTATAGGAGGAGAAAAATCATTCCTTCAAAAGATAAACATAATATCAATCATTTTAAAAAAATTTTCGGATCAAAATCAACTTTTCTTTTAAATCCACATTAAAGAGCAAGAAAACAAACAGTGCAAAATATAAATTATAACTTAATCCAACACTAGAGCACAAGAACTCAAAATCGACCAATCAGAAGGGGACTACATCAAATCATCAGTGATATGATGAAATAATAGAAATCTCTGACAAATTACAAACAAGCCCTTCCTTGTCCTTCCTTGTGGTTGAAGTTAGGGCATAAAAGACCAAAAAAGTTGTTCCTAGCAAAAGTTATAAGAGAACAGCATGTGGAGGTCTTCTGATCAGCTGGATTTTTAATGCAGCCTTTTAATCTTATTTGCAGCAGTTACATACGAACCTGCCAACAAAAACAAAAGTGTGGTCTCGCATTGAAAGCTGCGTAAAATATTCGATTTTAAAAGCCGCCGGAGACTTATCTTAGTTTGTAATAGTAAAAGTAAGTGGTGGGTTATTGTGAGTGCGATTGAAATTAAAAATGAAGGACGATGAAGAAGATTAGATTATAAAATCATTATATTAGGGATAATCTAAATCATATTAAAATATAGTTATTGAATAGATATGTAAATAAGGTAATTTTTAGAGTAAATGTGTAATTTGATATTTTTTCATATAAACCTCATATATATTTATTTATTTGCATATAAAATTATATAAATTTGATAAACATTTAAAAACACATTAAATAAATGAAAAAAAATTTAATAGGAACATATTTGCTCTTTTCTTTAATAATTCCATAAAATATTCATTTAAAAATTTTATTTGATGACTTATGCTTATTTTTTTATCAAATTGCCTACATCTTAAATATGTAGACATACTATTAACAACATAACAATGATATATATATATATATATATAATCTTATTAATTTCTATCTTAAATATGTAGACATACTATTAACAACATAACTATGATATATATATATAGATATAATCTTATTAATTTCTAAAATTCACCAAAAAAATGGCAAATTTATAAATTTAATGAAAATAAATGAAAAAGTAAAAAGAATTCATGAAATCAATCCACTCCAAAATATTAAATAAATGAAAGATGATGCTGATGCTTGTGATATCCGGAAAATTAAAAACAAACTGTAACAAAACTGACTGCGTGGCTTTATACTGAAATCTTATTCATAGATTTGAATGGGTAAATGCATATAAAAAATACCTGTTATGGATTAAACTATTGTAACACAGACGCTGAAAATATCTTCAGTAGTAAAACGAACCTGAAAATAAAATAGCAATAAGAAAACGAGCTAAATGAATTAAATATAAGCATCGGACAAATTCCCTCAAAAAACTAGTAATCTTACCTTGCCACCAATCCCCTCTCGTCGCGACATCTGTATCGGCTGAATCATCCTCCTTATCCGCTTTGCACTGCATATAATTTCAGGCACACTCCCTCAATGGATATATAATCTGATTTTTTAATACTCGAATAAAAAAATTAAAAATTTAATCAAAATTTTCACTTACATTAAAATAGGTTGAGGAATTATTGGAGGTGGAAGATTCTGGAATGAAGTCATCCCGTCCACCGTAATACACAGAGGAGCTCATAAGACAGGGTTCTTGTAGTTCATAAAGATAGACTGGGTTGCTGTACTTCTTGCCCGAGCTCTGGTTTTTGCTTGGGCTTCCACGGCTATTTCCTTCTGTAAAAAGAAATTATTTTGCAAGTTTTTACTTTTCAGATTTTTGAAATAATAAATTACATCTCTGTTTTTATTATTTGTACTAGAAATTTATATACACGCCCAATTCTTATGCATTCACCTATCCCACATCCAAATTCTCATTTTTACAAAATCAGCACCCAATCTATGGCTGAAAGTGTGGAGAATGGTGAAAAAGGCAAGTTGGATGATGATGGTTGGTTTGTAAAAATGAAAGTTAAGGTGTGAGATCGATAAATGCATAAGAACCCCCTTATTTTATTTTATTTCATTTTTCTTTCTTCGTGTAAAATTATAGTCATCAGATTTATTTTAAAATTTTTGTAAGAAATTAACTAATAAATTCTAGAATATTTTCTTTTTAAAAGTAATGACCATATAAAACTTGTGCAAATCAAACTTGACTTTGACCCAAGTTTGTCAATAGTTTATTTGTTAACGGCACAAAGTTTTCAGCATAAGCAACATCAACTGAAAGCAATTGAAATGATAAGAGATGCATGAAATTTCTACATTGAAATTTGACAAGCACTATACCAGTCTCTATTAATGATTAAGACCTCTTTAGAAAAAAAAAAAGATCAAAAATATTAAGGGTTATTATTTACATAAATAACATCCAATATTCAACACATAAATTTATTTTTTTACATTTATATCACAAAAAATAGGATATGAGTGGTATGTATGTAAATCTTTCTATGATTAATTATATTTACATTTTACAACAAGAATATTAATGTTTTTCAATTTAATCACAAATTTACTAACCAATGGGAGCTTATATCTGTATACTCTCCGAAATAAGCAGCAGAAGTACTTAAAACATAGAATTTGAGAAAAGAAATGATAATTTAGAGAAGAAATCAAAGCATTCAAATCGAGACTTTTTATATCAATGCTAATTTTCTAAAATATAATTATATTTAAATTAGTACTATATCAGCTAATGTTGTACATTTTTATATATAGTACACGACCGAATAAATGTACATAGGATATTTCAGACATAAATAATGTAACAAATACATATCTGAGCTAGACAACAGACATTACAAGAAAAAAAGATAGCTTAAGTAGAAAAAATATTATTTTTAATAAATAAGATAATATTTTGTCGGGAAAAAAAACGTTTTAAGACAGATAAAATAAAACATTTATAATTTGGTTCAAATGTACCCATAATCAAATTTAATTTCTTTCAAAAAATTGAGTTTATTAGTGGGGATTATATATTTTTTATAAGTAATGCATTATTACATGTTTGATATATCCCACCTCATAATCTTCATAATCATCATTACCCCCGGAGTCGGCTACATCATAATTAGAAAAGCTAAAATTTATAAACTTATCTGCCCAAAAAAGAAAAAAAAAATCCCATTTTTGTCTGCAATCACTCTCCAAAAATGTACAGTGGATCAGATATTTAGGCGAATAATGCATCAGTTTCAAGCCAAAAAATAAAAAAGAAACTTTTTTTTGCTCTCCATTGCTCTAACCTTGTCCCAAAACCGAAATAATAACACAATTAAATCAATCACCTTCCAAGCAACGATATTAGCAACAACTTCATCATCAAATAGCAGCAAAAAGAGGAAAAAAACAAAATAAAAACTGAGCTACACAACAGAGCGTGTATGGAAGCAGCAAAAGCTACAGAAAACAAGCTCAATACATGATATCAAAACCTCACCTCCCTGTTTTCTCCAAGTCCCATTGAAATCTGAATGAGAAGAATCCTTTCCACCTCCCTAAAAAAGAAAAGAAATGCTAATAAATATATATTTATTAACCTCTTACATAACGAAGATCAAAGGAAAATACTACAGGATACTTCACGACGAACATAAATACAATGAAATAACATAATTACATAAATGCCAAAATTCAAAATCCTTCATTTTCAACTAGAATTTATGAAAAACAATAAAAAAGAAAAGATCTAATTCATAGCTATCTAACAAAGCAGAGTACAGGCTTTCATATGCAGGGGTTGAAGCAGAGTAAGTTACAGTTGTTGGTGGCGGGAATATGGAGCTGAGTATATCAGACTTCGCTGCTTCTCTTCTCGGGAACAGATCATCAACAAATGATTTCTTCCCCTCCATAGCCTCTCTGTTTCTCTCTCTCTCTCTCTCTGTCAACGAAGGAAAAAAAGAAACTTTTTTTTGCTCTCCATTGCTCTAACCTTGTCCCAAAACCGAAATAATAACACAATTAAATCAATCACCTTCCAAGCAACGATATTAGCAACAACTTCATCATCAAATAGCAGCAAAAAGAGGAAAAAAACAAAATAAAAACTGAGCTACACAACAGAGCGTGTATGGAAGCAGCAAAAGCTACAGAAAACAAGCTCAATACATGATATCAAAACCTCACCTCCCTGTTTTCTCCAAGTCCCATTGAAATCTGAATGAGAAGAATCCTTTCCACCTCCCTAAAAAAGAAAAGAAATGCTAATAAATATATATTTATTAACCTCTTACATAACGAAGATCAAAGGAAAATACTACAGGATACTTCACGACGAACATAAATACAATGAAATAACATAATTACATAAATGCCAAAATTCAAAATCCTTCATTTTCAACTAGAATTTATGAAAAACAATAAAAAAGAAAAGATCTAATTCATAGCTATCTAACAAAGCAGAGTACAGGCTTTCATATGCAGGGGTTGAAGCAGAGTAAGTTACAGTTGTTGGTGGCGGGAATATGGAGCTGAGTATATCAGACTTCGCTGCTTCTCTTCTCGGGAACAGATCATCAACAAATGATTTCTTCCCCTCCATAGCCTCTCTGTTTCTCTCTCTCTCTCTGTCAACGAAGGAAGAAGGAGAAATACAAGATGCGTTAGAAGTAGACACTACTACTGCTTTGCCTCTTCTATCACGGGCCATGAGCCCTTATTTAAAGCCTTCGTCACCCTCTCTCTCTCTCCCTCACATCCTTTTCCTTCTCTCTCTTCCCCTTCTCATTCTCTCTCCTCTGCTCCTGCGCCAAATCTACACTTAATCCGTTATCTAATTGGATTTATTAAAATAATGTAAAAATTTCATAAAGCACTCCCTTCTCCATTATATACGACTATATATTCAGATCCCTCTGCAAGCAATTTCGCATCCCTCCTCTCTTCTCCATTCCCACTCATTTTTTCTATTTTCATGTATTAATATTTTTATTAGTTTGCCATATTCTAAGTTTTTTTATTATTTTATTTTTGTTGCCCAGTGAATAAGCGCCTTGTGTGCCAGCAAAGGATAGACCCCTTCGGCTCATCACGCGTGTTGTACTTGAAGATTAAAAAGCTCCTTCTTTTAACCCCATAATAGTAAAATATTTAAGTGAAAGCATTGAATAGCTTATAATTATGAATGTTTTGAAAAATCATATATTATGAAATGTTATCTACATATTAAAAATGAAGTAACACCACATCAGTGTGTTAATATTCTTAAAATTATTAGAAAAAATTATGCATGCACGGCCATAAATTCGGCACTATAAATGACGGTGTGCTAAGTCGTTCTCAAGTTAGGTGAATGATGATATAGTACCTCATGATTTGTAGTCTAGATGTGCGAACATTCGGATGAAATAATTTCTTCGTGGTTACATGTTTAATAATTAGATATGAGGTGGCGGAGGGATTAAGTCAAAGTATACATAAATTCGGTTGGCATTTCTCATAGGGCTCCTTAAGTGGAAGGTGACGGAAAGGAATTTAAAGCTTCAAAACCTATTCCCCACCTACTCAATTAATTTCTTTATAGAGTATGATATTGGCTGTTACTTGTTGAGTGTTTTGGCAGATTTGCCCTCCTGGTTACAACTTGTTCTCACATATTTGGCCCATAATTACCACTTTTTTTTTAAATTATTTTAACGTTTTCTTAAAGCTAGGCTAGTTTTTATTAACATTAAAATTTAGCATTTTAGTTACTAATGCATTCAGCATAATTAATAAGGTTAAAATGGACATACATAAATTTTTGTTTTTCATAAAAAATTGATTGTTTAGACGAATAATACATGTGGCTAATAATTGTAAATTCAGACATTTTTCATAAAAATGATAGAAACGCTCTAAGAACCCAATAAACTTCAAATTTCTTAAACAATGCAATTATTTGTTTCTGTGCAGTTTAGTATTTAATACGTGGGCCAGTGGCCCATTACGGCATTAAAGTAAAAAATGTTCGGGATAGGCCGCCACGCTTGCTGTTTAGGGTTTTCAGCCCTCGCTAGCTGCAACCATGTCTAGCCGAGCGATTGAAGAAATAGTAATTAAGAAAACACACGAGGTGTCGGCTATGGCGGTTTTCTCATATATATATTTTTTTAATTTTTAAAGGATGTTTTTAAAAGAAATTTATAAGGCATATTTTTAAAAAGGCACATGTACATGCATACCATTCAATTCATATGTTTTTGCATAACTAAGACCTAATTTTTCCTTTTTCTATTCATATTACCCAAATCTTTACATAAAAAAAATATGACCAATTTAACTTCTAAAATGTGAAAAACTTGTTGTCATGCATAGATATCAGAGGCATGTAAGCAAAAATTGAAATTTAGGTATTAGATCTGCAAATACATAAGAATTGATTGGTATGCTAATGAAATATATTATCCACAGAACTTATTCATCATCTTTAGAGAAATCAATGCAAATGAAACATATTATAAATCTAAAGTTAAATAAAGAACTATATATAAAATAATTAAGATTTGATCATTGATTGCAAAATATATTTATAATTTTTTGGTATATTAAAAAATAAGGGACATTTATGTACAAACAACAAAATTCTTATATACTAACCTACATATCTAAAATCTAAATATTCATATTCACACACACACATATACACACACACACACAAACACACACACATAGATATATATATAACTCGCGCCGCGTACTCAGATCAGTTGATCGAACATCTGCTCGTCAGTTGTATGTCCCCTCTGATTCCCCCCTGAGTGTAGGGTGTGGTACTCGAATTCTGAGGCGCATGAGGAATGACTGGGGTTCGTACAATAGCCGACCATTATATATATATATATATATTGGATGATACATTGGTTACTACTGACAATGACAATCATCTGACCAATTTATTAGCTGGCTCCTTCCCTAGAGTTAGAGGCAGAGGCAAGGCAAAATCGGGTCGCTCTCCAGCTCCCTGATACTCTAATTTTGGCACTTTTTAGTTTTTTATTTAGATCTCTTATGTATTTTGTTGTATTTTTTCTTTTTTGAAAGCATTTGATTTAATGATTTTTGTGTGGGCTGGGTGTCATGTTTGGTACCTAACAATTATTTAGATCTCTTATGTATTTTGTTGTATTTTTTTCTTTTTTGAAAGCATTTGATTTAATGGTTTTTGTGTGGGCTGGGTGTCATATTTGGTACCTAACACTGTATCTTTCTTTCTAGTTAATATATTAGTTTTTTTGGGCTTTCAAATACACACACACACACACACACACACACACATCATTTTATGCATGAATTTTTAACATCAAAGTATTATAAATATAAATAATAATATATATTTGATATGATTGATTAAAATATGATTGTTTTTTGAAAGCACTCAATACACCAAAATATTGTTTGAGCATATTCAAAAACATGTTAACTTTTTTAAGAAATAAAAAATAAAAACATATAAGAACACATCAAACAAACTTATTTTTAAAACAAGAGAAAAAATAAAGCAAAAAATAAAATTGGTCCCAAACAAGCCCTATATATTTTAAAATGCATTTATTGCATGAGACTCCCATGTGAGGCTGATGTAGTTTATTATTAAAAAAAAAAAAAATTGTAAAACTTATAGCATAAATAATTATCTCAAGTGTAGTTAATGGTGGTAACAAGTTTGATGAATCACCTTAAAACTTATAACATGAATCTCACTGCATGTTTTTGAAAAAAAAATAATTAAATTCTAAGTTAGTTGAATTTTATTTTCTAATAAATCTATAGTTGTAACAATAATTTAGATTAGATGAATCTAAATAAGTTTAAAGCTTGCACTCAAAGTATGGTTTACATTTTTTTGAAAATATTTTGGAGTCAAAATATATATTGAATCATATTTGTTTATAGTCAAAATGAGCATTTCAGCAAGAGGATTTGATTCAATGATCTAGAACTCCCCAATTTCAATATTGTTAAAATACCCAAGTGGTTAAGAAATTATTTATGACTAAGAGAATTAATTAATATTGACTTTTATGATGTGGTCTTTAGATATTTTATCAAAAAAAATTAAAATTAGGCTTTAAGGAAATTATTAGTAGACTCCCATTAAAAAAGTCATGGATCGTTACAAATAAAATTCTTGTTGGAAAAATTGTCAAGATCTTTATTTACTTCATGATTACCAAATCATGGGTTAAATATAAAAATCAAGCATATTTAACTCAAGATGAAGTTGTGGTTGATTTATATTAAAGTGAACTTTAATCCAATCACTAAAGTTCTCTTTTCATGGCAAATGCAAGCTCCATGCCAACATATATGGTGGCCTTTCAATAAATTTTGTAATGTTAAATGAAGAACTAATTAAGAGACATGAAGGGATGATATTTGATGCTAATGACATAGAATTATATATAGATGCCATTGGAGAGTCTCTTAGTAAGAAAACTCATAGATTTTATGAATTATTTTGTGTTGTTCAACAAAACCTTTGAAATGGTCACATCTATTAACGTGTCAAAACTTATCGAGACATAAGTCATCTGTACAAAACAGGTGCACGTGTTAAGCAGTAATACAGTTAATGAGTACCACATATCAATCTTATAAGGAAAGTGTGATATTTATTTTTACAAAAAAATATCTAGTTTACTAATTTATTTAACATAACTTAGCGTTTATCAAAAGGAGATTTTTAAGTACCAAGGTCCTAACAAAACAGTGTACTTAGCAATTGAAAGAAAAGTAGAAAATTTGAGGGCAGTTCATGAATTCCTTCAAGATAGATGAAGCTCATGTCTTTGTGATTCGGGGATTGTGGTGATCATAATTTTTTCTAAATATTTTCCTGCGTGATTGTTATCAATCAAAGAAATAGTACTCTTTATGCCAATGTCTAGGTCAAAAGAAGCCTATATTCCATGAAGTTGAGGCTTCCTCAATCCTCATGATATTCCACATGACTTTTCTGATCCTCTGGGATGATTGCAGAATTACACTGAAATATGTCTATCCTCTCAAAATTTTATGATTAACCCTTCGTTTCCACTATGCAATGGTTAGATGTCTTAGTTTCACAAAATATTATAACTTACTTGTTGGCCAGATGAGGAGTAAATTAAGTTCAGAGGTTACCCAACATAGGTCATGAAAGCAAAAGAAAATGAGTAACGAGAAAATATTATTGAAAATTCATGATAAATCCACTGCTCTCTACATCACAGAAACATGAAGAAAAGCTTAGCTGCTGATTACGGAGAAATTTATAACAAAAAATATCATATGAAAATTTATTGCAAGTAACATATATATGAAAAACTTACAAAAAAATTGTTTCCTCTACAAAGTCAGTACATTTCCCTTTCATACAAACTCTCTCACAACTCTTAAACTAAAGAAAAACCCTCCCATGAAATTTTCCACCTAAGGAGAAAGACAACCACCAAGAGATCCCTAAAAAATTTCTCCCAAACTCTTTTCTTTCAGCCTCCAAGCCTTCTCTCATGTAGAACTCCTTCCTAGAAGCCCTACGAATTGATTTTATAGTAAGAATAATGGTTTGAGCCATCAAATTTCTTTATTAAAGTGTTTCCAGCTTGTCGACGTGGTTACGCCTTTTTCTGGCATGGTCACACCACTAGATTGCCTGAGCTGATGTGGTTATGCCAAATTGTGGTGTGGTCTTGCACCTTAATGCATCATATGACGTAGCGACACCATTTCCGGCATGGTCATATTGGTCATGTTCGATAAGTGGCTTGGTCACACTGTCTTTAGGCATGGTCATGCTACTTCAGGGCACTTTTTTGTTAGAT